GGTGTAGCAGGGAGTCTTGTTAATGCTTAAAAGAGATAAAAATCCCAGCCTTTTACTTGGTGTTCCATATTACCTATCTCCTGGTAGAGGGGATGGGGGCACCTTGTTGTAGTCTGGTAAAGGCAAAAATTTTGATTCCTCGTTCACCCTTTAATGGTGGGGTGGTAGTGGGGCCACAGTTTTTAAATTTTTTTTTTATTTTTGTGGCGTTCGGCTGCAATAGAGCAGTTATTTAAAATTTCCTGTCTTTTTAGGCCCTCCCTGTTTTGATCTTTGGGGTAGAGAGAGCACTCTTTTCTTTTTTTTCTTTTTTCTTTTTTTTTTTGCTTGTTTGTTTTGTCTTTGCTGTATTTTACTGGGAAGAATAGGGAAAAGTACTTTTACTCTGTCTTTCTGGAAGCAGAGGTTCCTGGCAACAAATCTTCATATACTAAATGTCAAGACAAGGCTGACAAATTTGATTGGTAAGGAGACAATGATCCTTTTAGAGATTCAGACAGTTTATTAGTGATATAGGCAGCAAAAGTAAAATAAAACAAAAATGCAAAGGTGCCAGCTCAAGTCCTTTGTCCCATAGGATCACACTGAAACAAAAGGTACCAGATGAAGATTCAGTTCTAGTGGTGGGACACCTTGTTGCAGAGATAATCTGATACTATTCTTAAGCAGTTTTGTAGCCTGTGGCTGTGAAATGGTCTTTGCAAATATTACATCAGTGAGAAAACTATTGAAATGGCTCTGCTATCTGGGGTAAATACCTGGGGTTTGTTGTCTCGTGCCAAGAAAATTAAGGACACAGACACACAAAGAGTGGGTTTTAGAGTGGAAAGTTTAACAGACAAAAAAGAAGAGAGAGAGAGAGGAAGCTTCCTCGCGTTGAGAAAGCAGATTACCCAAGATAAAGCTTCTGGGTTTGCGATGCCATGCGATTGTTTTTGTAGAGATGCGATTGTTTTTGTAGAGAGGCTTGAGGCGGTGGTGATTGACTTATGTACAGCCCAGGGATTGGTTTGACCCAGCGTGCCATTTACATAGCCTGTGAAAAGATTGACCCTCCCACTCTAATCCTTTATTATGCAAATGTGGCTTCCACCTGGCTGTTGCCATGACACCTGCACATGTGGCGACAAAGAAAAGGGAGGGAGACTCGCCATAGTCAATGTACCTGGCTTCCAGGAGCAGCTGCTGGCATTGACATATGCAAGCTAACCTTGCATATCCGTCCTTGCAGCCTGACTTTCCAGGTTGCTTTCTGTTAGAAAAGAAATGGATTTGGGGCTGCTTTTTATTTTATTTTTCTTTTTATTATTATTTTTGAGACAATCTCACTCTGTCACCAGGCACCAGGCTGGAGTGCAGTGGTGCGAACTTGGCTCACTGCAACCTCCGCCTCCCGGATTCAAGCAATTCTCCTGCCTCAGCCTCCCAAGTAGCTGGGACTACAGGCGCACACCACCACGCCCAGCTAATTTTTTTGTATTTTTAGTAGAGATGGGGTTTCACCATGTTGGCCAGGATTGTCTCGATTTCTTGACCTCTTCATCCATCCGCCTCAGCCTCCCAAAGTGCTGGGATTAGAGGCTGCTTCTTATTAAAGGAAAACTCCGAGAACTCTTACCGTCGCTAACTGCCTAAAATACTTTCTGTGTTACTATGGCAGTGGGAGAGATCTGATCTAGCCAACTCCCCTCTTGCCTTAGCTTTCAAGTTGCTTTTATTTCTGTGTTTAGGCCAAGCTAACTTTGGAAGACATTTAAGTTATAGTTTATTTATTTTTTTTTTTTATTTTTTATTTTTTGAGACGGAGTTTCGCTCTTGTTACCCAGGCTGGAGTGCAATGGCGCGATCTTGGCTCACCGCAACCTCCGCCTCCCGGGTTCAGGCAATTCTCCTGTCCCAGCCTCCTGAGTAGCTGGGATTACAGGCACACGCCACCATGCCCAGCTAATTTTTTTTTGTTTTTAGTAGAGACGGGGTTTCACCATGTTGACCAGGATGGTCTCGATCTCTTGACCTTGTGATCCACCCGCCTCGGCCTCCCACAGTGCTGGGATTACAGGCTTGAGCCACCGCGCCCGGCCTTAAGTTATAGTTTAAATGTTAATAGCCCTTCTCCGAAACTCGACCACCTTTGTAAAGCTAATGAGAGACCACCAGGCTAGAGGAAGGAGAGGAGCTGGAATCCTGCTAAAGTATAGACTGATCACAAGATATGCAACTTCCCCTATTACTCCTGCAGGTAACGTCACTATTGTAGATTGGCCTTGTGAGATATCTTTTCAGGTTTTTGCATATTTGCCACTGATGGCTCCGCCTGGACCCACCGGGCTGCTGTTATGGCCCCACCTAGGAGTCACTCAACTCAAGAGGACAGCTTTGACCCTCTATGATTTCATCTTCACCCCAACCAATCAGTAGCAAGCACCCATTTCCTAGCCACCCCCACCCGTTCCCCCAAACTGCCTTTGAAAAATTCCTAACCTACAAGACTTTGATTAGATTGATTTGGGTAGTAACTCCATCTCCTACATGGTGTGGCCAGCCTCGTGTCAATTCAGCTCTTTCTTTACCACAATGATGTGGTTTTTGTGCAGCAGGCAGAAAGAACCCATCGGGTGGTTACAGCCATGCCATAAGGAGTCAGGAGCAAGGCAGAAAGCGTCTTACTTTTTCAGACCCCAAAGTATGATGAGAAACTATGTGACGACAGCTTCCCTCTTAGGAAGATAGGCAGAGAGTGGGAAGTGGCTGTGTGGCACCTCCTTACAAGCCCCTGTGTGCTCATGTCCTGCAAGTGTCACAGTTTGCTTTTCCAAGACATAGGTCAGCTGTGGTGAAGCCTTGCCTACATGACGTATGTGGATACATGAAGGGTCCTCAGGGTGTTGGCAGAAAGATTTTTTCCTAAATGATGTCTGCATTTTCATTGAGAATATATTTTCTCATTTCCCTTGTGATTTCATCTTTGACCAGTCTTTCTTGTTTAATTTTCAATATTTGGATTCTTCCTAATTTCTTATTGTTACTAATTTTTAAATATTACTATTTTACATAGAAAACATACCGTTCATGGTTTTTACTGCTCTTTAAGTTTATTGAAAGTTGTTTTGGGGCACAGCATATGATCTGTCTTGGCGATTGTTCCATACATGCTTGAAAGTAATGTTTTTTTTTTTTGGACCTAGAGTAGCTTAGGTGAAAAGTAGGTCAAATTAGATCATAGTGTCGTTTAAGTCTGCTGTACACTTTATGATGTTTTGATATGCTTGGTGTATCAATTATGGAGAAAGACGTGTTACTGTTTGACTGTGGTTTTGTCTGCCTCTTCCATTAGAATTTTCTTCATGTATTTTCTTTTCTTTTCTTTTCTTTT